ATCTCCAAGAGGTTTTATCATTCTTATTTTGTCACTACTATCAACAATAATAAGAAAAGAGCTTACAGAGCAACCTCTTGAATCCCTAAGCAATGCATCGAGAGATTAGCAGCAGAGAGCAGTGGGCAGCTCGAGAAAAGCTGTTCAACAAATGTAGAGGCATGCATAATAAGATTACTGAATTGGAGTTGCATGTTTTCAAGGATAAACGTGATATTGCACTGGCAAAGACATAGTAGGAGCAAGGGAAAGGATGAGAAATCACCTGTCAGAACAGAGGGACTGCTGCAGCAGAGCTTCCAACAGGACAGGGACAAGTGGGAAGTGGAGGCAGCGAGGAGGAGAGGAAGTGCACATCCTACTTGACATGCAGATATGCAGAGAAGCATTTTGCAAAGTGGGTGATGTCATCGTGTTTTTCTCAGCCTTCAGGACAGCAAGAGAAAAATAGATGAAGCCAGCACATGCAGAGGAGTCTGTAAGACGAGCAGACTTCCCCCACACACCCCATGCAACACTAATTGCTCAGATATTGATCAGGGAAATAACTCGTAAGAACTAAAAGAAGAAAGGATTTCTTTTCCTCCTAGGAGACAAAAAGGGCAATGCTCTTGCAGAGTTGCTGGAAAGGTCCAGGTGATCACAGAATTACCAAGACCATATAATTAAGAGGTTGAGTTGGTCTAATTTGTTAACACTGGAAGGCATGGAAAAACTGCAGCCTGATGGTTTTCAGGAGGTCATTGCAGTCTAGTCGGAATTACAGCTAGGCTGGTTCTCCCAAGGGGCACAAACATCTCACTGGGCACATGAGACCAGCACCAATCCTAACTATCTTGGTTAGCAAAAACCAACCAGCTACAGAAGGGACCCCTGCTCTGGTCACCCAGGGCTGCTGGCTGGGTTGTGAGTGACAGAAACCTGCTGCCCAGGCTTAGCTTTGGCAAGGGAAAGAGTAATTAAGATTAAAAGCCCAAACCAGAGTGCTTGAGAGCTGCTATCTACTATTGCCCTGTCATGGACATTTAGTCCCAAGAAAAAGCAGCAGTTCTGCTTGGCTTCTGGAGAGCTACTTTTCTTTCCTGAGGAAAGGAAAAGCTGCCACACAGTAAAATGTAATACCTACCCCAGAAAATATCTGCACCTCATCTTCATCTAGGTAAATCCAGACAGAAGTGAGCACCAGAGAGTCCTCTATACTTAAAAAATGATGTTGTGTGTGCACCAAAGTACAGGGAGAATACTATTCAAAAAATTAAAAACCAACCACCAAGCTATTGAGCTAGACAGCAAGAATGATAAAATAAGCAAAAACAGTGATTGCAGGAAGAGGAGGAAGCATCCACAAAGCCTGCAGTGAGTATTTCTCAGGGATATACAGGCAAATAAAGTCACAGGAAGCAGGAGAAACTGATCTTTTAAAATATCCTGTAAGGCTGGGGTGACAAAGAGTAAGTTGTTACTAATACTGTTGGCTGTTCAGCCTGGAGAAGAGAAGGCTGCGTGGAGACCTCATAGCAGCCTTCCAGTATCTGAAGGGGGCCTATAGGGATGCTGGGGAGGGACTCTTCATTAGGGACTGAAGTGATAGGACAAGGGGTAACAGGTTAAAACTTAAACAGGGGAAGTTTAGATTGGATATAAGGAGGAAATTCTTTCCTGTTAGGGTGGTGAGGCACTGGAATGGGTTGCCCAGGGAGGTTGTGAATGCTCCACCCCTGGCAGTGTTCAAGACCAGGTCGGACGAAGCCTTGGGCGACATGGTTTAGTGTGAGGTGTCCCTGCCCATGGCAGGGGGGTTGGAACTTGATGATCTTAAGGTCCTTTCCAACCCTAACTATTCTATGATTCCATGATTCTATACCTGCCTATTAAATATTATTTCATGTAGAAGGGGAGAGCCCCTCAGTGCTCAGTTTTGTGTATAGTTTTCCCACTGGGCAAAGTGATCACAAGGGTGTGCAGCACAGCAAGCACCCCTAAGTTAAATGGGCTGATGGGTGAAATAGTTCAGGCACCGGTTGCACAATTTGACCCTGGGGAAGGGCTGGAGAGCTGCCCCATGGCTCTACAGCACCTTGCACAAGGTCGGTGTGGCTTCGGTTACATCTGCAAAGGACTGCAGCATTATAGGAAAGGAGCAAACACCCCTCTGCTAGTGCTGGGGAGTAACAAGGCAGCAAGCCTGGGGCTTCAACAGCCATCTGATGCCTCATTATAGAGATCTTGAGGCTCTCAGAGCAGGTATTATAAAATCTTACAGAGCATTCTTTCCAGTCACGTATAGAGTGAAGCATCGCACATAAATAAGACACTGCTTGCCATGAGGTAGGTAGTTCAAAAACCAGACAGATTGGTCAAGAGATACGGGTAAATCCACAGTGGATAAAACAGCAACAAAAATGAAGGTTTGGGGAATTCTTTGCTTATTTAAATGCCATTTTCCACCCCATGGTACATCACATAATTCCTTAAAATCCCCAAACACACACAATTGAACACCTCTCAGTATTTAACCAGTTCCAGGATAACCATGACAAGTTCTGCAGTAAGCTGTTGTGGAGGAGTCAGGTCAGGTTCTGTGCAGGAAAGCCCACTTTGCTGGTGTGGAACATGGCTTACAGAGGGGTTGTGCTGGGTCTGGGTTAGAACCTGCACTTGTAGCCATTTTTTAGATACCTTAAAGAGAACATGAAAGTAACCTGTATTTGTTCCAATTAGATGGAAAAACCTTTGCACTGAGTGGTACCAGTCTGAAGAAAAAGAATAAATGAGAGTAGTACAGACTTTCCAAACAATGACTTTAGGTCCTTCGGTGATAATCATTAAACCTCAGAAGAGTTTACTTTGTTCTCTTTCTAAAGGAACAGTTTGAGCTCCCAGACCTGGCAAAGCAGATGCAGTCTGGCTTCAGGAAAGCTGACAGAAGTTCCTGGAGGCCCATAGCCTCAGCAGAAGTGTTTCACTGAGCGGACACCTGAGGAAAGCTGGGCAGGAGCTACCAGGCAGCAGCTCAGATTTAGAAAATGCAGCCTGAAACAGAGCCCGGGCACAGCTGGTTAGGTCAGATAACAGGTCAGGCTGCCAAGTCCCTCTCCCCACGTCCTTCCATCAGAAGTTGAAAGCTGAGTCCAGCCTATTCAGTATGTGGACTGAATTCTCATGAAGGCGATCAAAGCAAAGGGCATACTCTGGCACAAGAGAATAAGCTATCCACCAGCAGGGAGAAAATCGGATAAAGAATAGGCTTAGCAGCTCTGCTGTCCCTGCCTGCTAAGCTAATTGTTCATCATGCCCATTTGCCTTGCTATGCTTGAAATGAGGAGAAATTCATGTTTGTGAACTGCTGGAATATTTGAGGTCTGAGAATGTACAGCACCATTTTCATTACAGTAATAAAGTCACAGAATGGTAGCTTTAAACGCTAAGGATAATAATGCAATATAATGCAATACCATTCACTCAATTAATCCACAGCCTGCAATGTCGAATGCACTTACTCTGAGAATTTTCTCAGAAAATGAAGCTAGAGTGAATTTCATCTATAAATCACACAAGACACTTATTTGGCAAGAATGACCTCTGCTCATACACAATAAATCATGAACATCAACAGTCTCTAATGGATTTTGAGTCAGTGCCACAGACAGCAAAGCCCGGGGCCTGTGTTTCAGAATTCCAGGACTCTGCCAAAGGAGCCTTATAAATGATTAATGCATTCAGCAGTGTCATCTGTGCCATTGGAGAAAAAAAAAAAAAAAGACATTCTGGGGCTCCATTTGCCATTAGAAATGTGATAATTGGTTAAGCAGCTGACCATGCCTTTCCCTTCCCCTGCCAGAATGAGCCATTTAGCTCCACACTTCATAAAATCCCTTCCCCAAACTTTTGTACATGCTGTTGGTTCATGACATGCAACATTTTGGTAAGAGAGGGAAAGAGATCTGTTTTCATAAGTAGTCCACCACAACCAGACTTCCTATGGGATGGAGCCGAGGTTTGCATTTGCAGATGCACATACAACATGGAGGCGACATTAAAGAGGTAACTGGGGCCTCTTTCTACTTTGGCATACCGTGAAGATGCCAGTACATGGAAAATCCAAGTTTTGATCCCTACTTCTCAGTCTCTCATGCTTTTCAGTTATTCATCCCACAGTTTTCAACCTCTCCCCCTTCACTTTTGTCCCCATGGTTACTGAATCACTGTGTTCACAGAGATTTTCCTAACTAAAGAATATGTGACTAACATGAGACAGCTAAAATACCAGAGCCAACTCTGACATTGGTTTCTCCTAACATGGGTCTTATCTTCCAAATGCCTTCAAATAGATCTCTTACACTGGCACCAACTTCAGAGTAAACAGTACTTCAACTATTGACAGCGACAGAGCCGCAACAGCATTGCACAGGGAGACTTAAAAGAGTCTTGAATCAGGCAAAGCATGAAATTCTTAGTTGGAAGCTACCTTCCTTTTGAGTGCTGATACAAATACCTAGGAGATGTATTTCACCAGAGAACTTTGATTTAGGTCCTAGAAGGGAAGGCATTATTTCCTGACTGGACGTGGGTCTACAAGTTCAAGCAGATTTCCTCTTCTTAAAAGCCAGTTTGGTTAAACAGTAGGACACACATTTTGGGCCCAAAGAAATCTGTCACAAAACACATCAAGACAGGACACTGGATAGCAAGTCTACAACCTCCAGCCACAGCAGTCAGTGTATACTGCTGGCCCACAGGTCAGTGAAGCTGCTCCCCCCTTGGTTAGCAGCCTGGGATGCACCAGGGATGCTTAAAATAGATCCTTTCCAAACTACACCAAAAAAGATACTTTAAAACCTGTTTGCATCTGAGAGGCCTTTCTGCCCTTTACTCACAACATCCATCCAGCCACAAGTGCCTAGATGCTAAAGCAAGGCTAGCAGGACAGCACTTCATGTAAGCACCACCAGAAATGAGCCAATATAGACAACACTTGAAAATAAATGTGGAGTTCTTACCTTGGCCGCTACGGAGGAGTTGGGCTTCTCCAGGAGATCCCAGAGCTTTTTCCTTTTGTCAGCACAGCAAGTGTTATCAAATTCCTCCCCTTCCCTTTCCCTCAGTGTCTCGGCTTCTCTCTTCAGCTCCTCATTCATCTGCTCCTTTTTCTGGTGGTAGCGGGCCTGGCAGCAGGACTCCAGGTAGATCTCATCCACCCCCCAGTAGTCCAGCTCCTGGCTGAAGGACAAGGCGCACATCTCCTCCATCATGTGCAGCTTGCCAGTACGGTAGAAGTTCAAGATTGAGGTGAATGCCCCGGGATGCCTGTCAAAGAAGTACTCATTCTCTTCCAGGTTGTAGTCATCACAGATCTCCATAAGGGAGTCGTGTGTGTTGCAGTCTCTGAGCTTACCCAGCCTGGTCCGCGGCAACCTGTCCAAGGTCCGCCAGAGAACCTCGTGGGCCAGCCCCCCCACGTTGAGCTTGACCCTTCGGGAGCAGGCCTTGCTCCTGACGATCTCGGTGGGGTCCGGAGGCAAAGAGGTAGTAGAGCGAGATCCATGCTTATTCATCCCCAGAGGCATCTCTGGTCCCCCTCAGGCTGGACGCTCCAAGGTGCGGCGTGGGGCAGGGTGCGCGGGGACCGGCTCTCCTCACCTCTCCTTCCCCTCCATGCCCCAGAGCTGCAAGAGAAGCCAACCATGGGTCCCCGCCCGCTGACCTGCGCCCGCCTCGGCGCTGCCTTATCCCCGCGGGGGGCGCCCGGCCCCGCTAATCTGCGGGGGGCGGCGGCGCTGTCCGCCCGGGCGGTGCTGAACCGCGCTCCGCGCAGCTCCGGGCGCTGTCCGCGGTGCTGAAGGCCGCCCGATCCCACGTGTCGGCCAGGCTGCTGTCGCCGAGCTCCCCCGGGCGGCGGCCCGGTGCCCCCCTCCTCTGCCCGGGAGGGTCTCTTGCACACCCCGTCCGGGAGAGCCGCGAGGGCTGGGCCAGCCCCGGAGCCTCTGCTAGCAAAGGCCCGGGAAGTGCTGATTGACAGGGGAGGGCACAGAGCTTCCCCCCGCACCCCCCCCCCCCCCCCAGCGCCACTCAGCAACGCGCCCCAAAAAGGCTCCGAGCCGCTAGCCAGGGGTGCGCTGGCCCCTTGTCCCCCATCCGGCAACCGGCTAGGAGCGTGCCGGCCCTGCCACCACTTTCTCCCGCAGAGGGGCCCTGCAGGACTACGGACCCCAGGTGCCCCCACGACCCAGCCGGGGCAATTCCCCTCCTGGGAGCCGGCGATGCTCTCCGCCCTGTCCAGCCATGTAGGCTGCAGGGAAGCGTGGAGGCTTTTTATAACTCCAGCTTTGCAGATTTCCCAGAGGAAACCGCTGGGGAAGGTAAAAGGGGAATTCGCAGCCACTCTAACGACTCGCTCTCCCTCTCTTGACTGCCCAGGGACACCCACACACACACCCCACGCCGACCTCTGCATAACAGGGAAATCAACGAAAACCGGAATTCGGAATAAGGCAAAAGCCCCGAACCTTCCTAGCAAAGCCGGGTGCCTTATGACAGCCCTAAGCACTGTTGCTTACACAAGATGGCACGGAGAGAAACCCGGGCGCAGGAAAGAACGGCTCCCCCATGCTCAACTGGCGCAGCTCCGGGGCCTCAGCCCCCTCCCCACCTACCCAGGTACCCCCAGCCTCAAGAACCAAACACCGCCGCTGTCTCCCTGCCGCCGCCGTGCACAGGGAAAGGCTCCCGTCCCTCGGCCCGAGGCCGGCCCGCACCTACCTCCTCCTGCGGGCTCCCAGCGAGGCGGTGCGGGGCTGTGCGGGGCCGAGGGTGGCTACATCCTGCGGCGGGGCGGGCAGCAGCGGCGGCCCCGCTCGCATCCCCCCGCGGGCAGCCTCAAGGAGGAGGGATGGCGGCAGCGCTCCCGGCTGTCCGCGGAGCCCGGGGGGAGGGGAAGGGAAACGAGGTAAATCGGATCCTTCGCAAGGAAGCCTTCCAAGGCCTTCCCTCGGCGGCGGCTCCTCACTCCTGCCTACAGTCAACGCCGAAACCGCATCTGCCCCCGCCCCCCCCAGGCTCTCTCTCGGTGCAGACACAAAGGAAAGCTTCGGTGCTTCCTTCTGCTGCCTCGGAACGGAGATCAACAAGTCTAGTCTGAGCCTCCAGCTTTTCCCTGCAATTCTGTCCCGGAGTTGTTTGGAGTGAATTGGAAGTTGGGGGTGGAAGAGAGGAAGGCAGCTCCACCGTGAGCTGGGATGCAGCATTGCAGGGAAGGTTAACGCTTTCCTGGCTGGGCCCCACCGCCCCGGGGCTGACTTCCAGCTCGGAGACGCCTAGAAGGGACCTAGCACAGTGGGGAGAGCCAGAGCATCCTTCCTTAAGGGGATAGGTCTGTTCCAGTCATTCTCCAGCTCCCGGTGGTATCACCCATGAAAACAGGAGCAGGGATTGGTGCCAGAAAAAAAGTGATGAGCAGAGAGCACTGATAATCCCAGCAGGGCCCCTATTGCTTCCCAGGCCCTGCTTGCTGAGCCAGGAGCAGCTGAGCTCAGAACGGCTGCACATTCCTCTATGGCTGAGGAGTGAACTGGGCCCTTATTCTCACCGCAACAGCCCTCATCAAAGGGAAAAGCCTGATCTCAGGATGGTTGTGTATATTTGCAGGTAGGAGGAATAGCAGTGGAATTCTGCTCCTGGTTAGGACTATGAATAAATAAAAAGCTCTTACTAACCTGAAAACACAGCAGAAATGGAGAAAAGAGTGACTTTCCAGGCAACAGCACAGCACTCAAAGTATCACTCTGCCCCTCTGTCCTTCTCATCTTCTTCCTTCACTCCCAACAGGGGAAATGGACCTCACAGGGAGCCCAGAGCTCCATTAGCACCATTTAATGGGTACATTAGCATCACTTAATGCACTTCACCTGCTTAGGCTGGTGCACCAGAGGTACACAGCAGTGCTTGCTAGCCCTTTCTCCTCCTGTATCGATTGACCATGGCTTTTGGACTCTAGTGACAATTTCAACTACAAGGTTTCTAAAATAGGAGCCAGGTGTTTGTTTTACGTGATTAACTAAGGGAAAAGACCCTCATTGCTGCTTTTCCCTACTTTCTGTTCTTCTCTCCTTAGCCCAGACTTGGCTCCCATGTACCCAATGTCCAGGGTACCCAATATCAATGTTATGTTATTATATTTGGTGTTTAAATGTCCACATCTTCCTTAAAGATAGCTTCCTGAAATCCCAAACACTGTTTGCTTTTCTCCAGAACCTCCCACAACTGGATGTCATCTGCATATTTCAGAATTTCTTACAAGGAGAAGCAGTCACTACTTACCTTTTACTGATGAGGAAATGAAGATCCAGAAAAGCAAGCTCACCCAGAGGGGAAGTGGAAGAAAGAATAGGGTATAAAACTTGTTGACAAGCTGAATCCCAGCCTAGCACCCCTCAAATGAAGTAGCTCCCCCTACCCCATTAAAACCTACAAGCAGTATCCAGAACACTTCAGTTCTCCTCTCACTTTCCCCTCATTCCACCTCCAGACCCCACTTTAGTCCTCTTACAGCAGAGATGGAAACCCCTGATCAGAACTCGGAAGTTAATGATTACAAAGTGCTTTGAAGCTTCCAGCTGGCAGGTGCTGCAGGAGAGCAAGTCATTTGTTTTTTAGCACTGGCATCCAGGGCAAATTATCTCCCCTTGTGACAAACGCTGATGGATCTGTTGTGGGAAGAGGATGCTGGGAGGGAGGATGACAAGCAGCCTAATGCAGGGAGATGCATCAGATTCAATGCAGTTAAATCACTGCGAGAGAAGCAACGTGGGGTTATTATCTTCCTGGATCACTCTTGCTACCCTGCCAATGTCATTCACATGTTCTGCCTAGGGTCTAGAGAACCAGACATGGAGGGGGGGGCACGTGAAGGGTCAATGTAAAGCACAGACTCCTCCAATGCTGTCTACTCACCCTTCCACATGTGCCTCCTCGTCAGCGCTGAAGAACCTCACTAGAGTCTCAGTTAGAAGCTGCAAGAGGGAGCCATGCCCAGGGCAGACCCTTCCACTGGCTGTGCCTGGCGTGATCCAGGAGTCTGGGGAGAGGAGAAGAGGTTTCCATCCCCAGGACGGCTGTTCCCTGCAGCACTTTTTGTCCCACAATAGAGAGTTTGTCAGCAAGGGGCAGTGCAGGCCTGAGGATGCAGAAATGTGGAGCCTGCTTGCTCCTCTCCAAGGTTATCTAACCCACTCCTGGTTTGGATATACCTTTCCATTGGTATTTTTGTACCCTCAGCTTCTGGAAACTTAATTTATGGTTTGTTATTTCCACAGCCCAAGGAGCCAGCCAAATGCTTGAATGCAGTCTGTGGCAAACCCTGTTCTTTTCCAAGTATTACAGCAGCTATTGACAGGGAAACACTTTAAACCTCAAGTACTTTAGAAGAAATATGCAGAGTATGGCAAGTATACGTTCTCCTGGACTTGCAGTCAATGGTATATACCCATCTGGATTTCATCTGCCTGGCAGAAAAGGTCTATAAGACAGTGGTTTTGAGCTACAACATGATATGGAAATAGGCTGGGCCTAAATGTGGAAATATCCCTCTGCTGATCCGCAGTGACTCCTCTGCCTGCATAAGGAGAAGTATCACATCTTCACGAACACCCACTCCCATACAACAGTCTGGCATCTTGTCCACCCTGAGAAGCAAGAGGGGAGGCTGATTTACATCATTCTACTGGTCACAGAAAAACAAAGGGCTGTGAGGAAAGGAAGGCTCCTCTCCCAGCCCATAAACAAGTGCTCAGCCATGTCACAGCGATGGTATGTGAAACAATGGGCTTCCAGCAGAGATGGGAGCAGCAGCTTTGGTGGTCCACGAGTTTTGGCTGGTTCCTGGTGCTGAGGGGATGCTGGGTTTCACATTCTAAAATGAGCTATAAGACGTAACAATAACTCATATTGTTCCTACAGCCTAAGGGCTTGTGACTTGTCCTTGTGAGTGGGAAAGAAAGCCACACACAGTAAGCTGTCTCCGTCACACAGTGTTTCTTATTGTGTCCCTTTAAGGATTCCCTTAATTTCCAGGGATTTTATTTCCAGCCCAGAAACACTTTAGGTACAATTGAGGTTTTCTTTTAGAGTCCAGTTTTTTTTCCTTAAAGGGGGGGGGGGAATCAGGTTTCTTGTCAGAGATCTGTAGCGAGTGTCAAAAAGTGCAAAAAGAACTGACTGCGGAGTAGTTGTGCCACCAAGAGCCCAGGAGTGTGGAAATGCTGGAACACCAGGGAAAAACATAGGAAGCAGATGGAAAAATACAATCCAAAAATGAACCTTAAAGAGACAAGGTGATGTCAGCAGTGGCTGAGCTCCATCATCACATTCTCCACTAGTGAAAGCCCCTTTTGGAGGAGCTCAGCTGTAGCTGCCAGTGTACAGTGCCACAGGGGAGCAAGCTCTGCATGCAAGGGGAAGCCTTGGTAACCACGGCTTTCCTGGCCCCCAGCATGCACCTCCATTCACTCTTGTCCTTTGCCAGCTCCTCTTCTCATCGTGGTGAAAGAAAGCCTTTCCCAAACTGCTTACATATATTTATAAGTCCATCACAGCTCGTTGGTCCAGGAAGAGGGGCCTGACCTCTGCCATGGTCTCAGAGTCCTCAGAGAAGCACCAAAGGATCTGAGAAGGATGAGCTGCTGCACTGGGTGTCTGCCCAAGTGGGAGATGGAGGAAGGAAGGGCAAAGAGATTTCAGCAGGAACCACGTACCAGGGAACAAATGTACTTTGGCAGAGGGCAAACTCTCTGAAGACTCTCAGCTGTGAAAGAGTAAAGACTGGTAAGGACAGCCCTGTCTCTTGTTTGGGAGGACGGTATCCAGTGTAAAGAGTTGTTTTCAGCTTACCTAAACTTTTCACATCCATTTTGAAGTCCCAGGAGTGCCCAAAGTCCCCCCTAGACTTCTCGCCCTCCTGCCACCTCCCAGAGGGGCAGTCCCAAGCTGCACCACTGTTTGCCTGGCACCAGCCCTTCAAACAGCTCTTGGTGCGTAGTCAGCACCAAGAGTTGGGCTCCTTTCGTCTTTGGGAAGAGGGCAGGAAACACGCCAGTGCAAATCGGTTATCAGAGAAGCTTCTTGGTTCAGGTTCCCACAAAGCACATTCAGAGCCACCCCCCTGGCTCCAGCTTTCTGCCTTTCCCAGGATGTGCATTTCCTCCCGCACATCTATTAACTCTCCTCTCTGCTCTCACTGACCACAAGCACAGACCCCATGGCTCCTCTTCCCAAGGATGAATCCAGCAGATCCACCATTCCTCTTGTCTTGATGAGGACGAGCCTGGAAGACTGACTGAAAGCCGTGGAAACACCAGCCTATTCCCTAAGGTGACCAGGTGTGTGAGCCTATCTTGTTCACATCGGGTTTCAGACCAAATACAGACCAAATCCAATTACTTTAGGGAAGAAAAATACACAAACCTTTCTCCTAGTTGAGGAATAAATGGTCCCCAATGGCCAGTTTGTCCTTGCCACCTACCTGCTAGGGAATTTGCAGAATGACCTGAGACATTAATTTGCTCCTACCTGTCAATATCATAGGCCAAATCCTTGGGGCCCCTGGTCCACTGTCCTGCCCAGGAGGGACCAGTGGCAGTGGGATTCCATCAGCTTCTGCATCCCATAGAGGGACTTGGAGGATGTTCCATCCTTCTGGCTTATGCTGTTCAGGCAGGACTGGCATGGAGCAAAACCCAGCTGCTTGTAATACATTATCTAATGGTTAGCTTTAAGCACCAAGCTCTGTAAAGCAGATGGACTTGTTACGCTATTCAACACCTGCAGATTTATTAGCCCCAGAAGAGCTGGAGGTTCGCAGTAGTCACCTCGCCATTAGTCAGGAGGGAGGGCAGCAGAGCTAGAGGGGTTGGCCAGTCTTTGCAGAGGTAGGGATGTGACCTCTCTCTCACAGGGGTTACCAAGTGCCCATCCATCTGGGCTGCTTTCAGCTGATGAGCACTGGAAATGGTCCTGCAGCCATTTACATCCTCTGGGAGCTGTGGCACACCAACCCCATTGGGAGAGCCAGGGTCCAGGACCTAGATGCAGTATCATTCATGGAACTCATGGACAGGACTGATGCCCTCTCTAAGCTCCCACAGTGGCTGGGATCCCTCTGGCAGCTGGGGGAAAGCAGCTTAGCTGGTGAAGCCCCAGGTCTGAAGAGAAGACATAAATGGGGATGTAAGAGAAACTAGATAAATGTTATTGACCCTACCATGTTTGCCATCAGATCTGTGCATTACAAACAAGTCCCTCTGATTCAGAGGCGTAAGGTGCCATTTCTCTCCTTGGGTTGGAGG